AATTCGATACATATTATATAGAAAATAACTATTTATTATAAGCCTAACAATAATATTTTATAGGTATTTCATATTTTTTAAATCAACAAGGAATATGTGACCTATTCCCTGCAAAACCAGAACTAATCACTGGACATTTCTCACGATTCATACACAAATGTCAAATTCAATATAAAACAATTTAGCTCCCTAATAATTCTAAAAAATGAATTGTTATTTTTAAGAATCGAGCTCAAACCCTTTACAAAATGAAAAAAAATGTTCACCACCTTCACAAGCGCAAAACGAACAATTCCCTTACGTAGTAAGTACCAAATTTTATCATGGTATTTCTCATATGTGTTKAAATGTGGTGGAATTTTCATGTATCCGGAACTTAGGTGTTTTTTAGAATGCATTCAAACGGAGAAATATTATGTCAAGGCACATTGATCGATGTGAACTGGGTATTAACCTCTGCGCATTGTATTAAGTAGGTATTTAGTCTGTTGAATCTTCACTTTATAATAATTAGTTATATAATTTATGTTATTATAGTATAGTTATAAATTATTAAATGGAMTTTTATTTTTATTTCTAGTACTACAGGTATTTCGTTGGACGGTATTGATATTGCGATGCGAAATAATAAAACTCATGAAATTCTTTTGAAGCCGATAAAAGTGATAKAAACAAAATACAACGATGTGGCATTAATTGAGGTAAAATTTTTGAGATTATTTACTACTATCTTAAAATATTTTTCCCACTCTCATATTTTTTTTCGTTATGCAACAGATGGAAAAATCCATTATTCCCTCTAGTATGGTAGCACCCATCGAATTGGCCAATGAAGATCAACCTTCTAACAATACGGAATGCGTTGTGATTAGTTTTCAAAAACAGTCAAACAAGGAATTATCACTCATATATTGGAACGTGGTTAATATTGCAAAACAAACATATGATAAGAGCGAATGGTACTTAGAAGATTCGACTTGCCATTCACAAATATGGGACTCATTACAGAACGTAAGTAATCATTGTGTAATCAAAAAGAATAAATGTACTCTTTATATTTATGAATTTAATAATTAATTCACATGTCATGAAATTCAACAAAAGCGTACTTACTTCATTTATMATTTTGAACAACTATCGACATAAGCGACTACGTGGTTTTGAAAATTTAAAAATCCCTAAATATTTTTTAAAAAATGTACTATTGATTGTTATTGTAGATATTAAACAAAAAATAAGAWATTTTATCAAATAAACTTTTATTGTTTATTTATCATATTATTATTTATCTACTTAGAAAATATTATATATTTGTTCTATTACATGCTATACAATACAAAATAAATCATGTGTGGATAAATKATCTAAATTTTTAGACATTCAAAATTTAAATTGATCATCAGGTCGTTAAAACTCTTAAGCATATTTAAACTAATAAATTATACCTAACTAATTATTTGAACTTTATTTTTCTAATAATTTGAATTTGAAGCCTAATTTTATGTAAATTTAAATTATTTTTTATATAACAATAATACTATTATTATACTACACAATATTAACAAATATATTATTATGTTGATTACARTTGTGTAAAATGGGACAATATTTATKATAGTTAACAACGTAATTATTCGGTGTATCACATTTATATAAATTATTTTTAACATGCTTGTTTTTTAGATAACCCATAATGGAACTCCTTTGGTTTGTAATAATCATCTAAATGGCATATACTCACTCAATGAACCTAAGATATTTAATAACATTTTTAAGTACACCAATTGGATCCAAAGTGTAATCAACCCAATGAMTTTGAATAAAACGCCTGAAAAATATGCAAACAATATTGTATTCAATGATAATTTTTTGTCTGATTCAAATTCAACGGTACTAGAAGACTCAGCAGAGTCAACAAAATCTGTTGATCCATCTCCAGAAGCTAATGCAGAAAAATCATCTTATTGGGCAAGAGAGTCAGACGGTCCTACTTCTTCTAACCCATGTTCTACAATGAATTTAGAAGGAAAAACTGAATATGCTGAAGAAACTGAACGTAACGAAGAAACTGAATCTACTGAGGAAACGGAATCTACTGAGGAAACGGTATATACTAAAGAAACAAAATATACCGAAGAAACTGAAGAAACCTCGGATAAACCTAGCTCTGAAGCATCTATTCCTCAATCTTCAACTACAGAGAAATATACTACAAGTTCGAATCCTTCAACAACCACAACTGTAGAAACAGAAAAAACTAAAGAAACTGAATATACCGAAGAAACGGAATCTACTGAAGAAACAGCATATACTGAAGAAACAAAATA